TTATTTAGTTTATTTAGTTTATTTAGTTTATTTAGTTTATTTAGTTTATTTAGTTTATTTAGTTTATTTAGTTTATTTAGTTTATTTAGTTTATTTAGTTTATTTAGTTTATTTAGTTTATTTAGTTTATTTAGTTTATTTAGTTTATTTAGTTTATTTAGTTTATTTAGTTTATTTAGTTTATTTAGTTTATTTAGTTTATTTAGTTTATTTAGTTTATTTAGTTTATTTAGTTTATTTAGTTTATTTAGTTTATTTAGTTTATTTAGTTTATTTAGTTTATTTAGTTTATTTAGTTTATTTAGTTTATTTAGTTTATTTAGTTTATTTAGTTTATTTAGTTTATTTAGTTTATTTAGTTTATTTAGTTTATTTAGTTTATTTAGTTTATTTAGTTTATTTAGTTTATTTAGTTTATTTAGTTTATTTAGTTTATTTAGTTTATTTAGTTTATTTAGTTTATTTAGTTTATTTAGTTTATTTAGTTTATTTAGTTTATTTAGTTTATTTAGTTTATTTAGTTTATTTAGTTTATTTAGTTTATTTAGTTTATTTAGTTTATTTAGTTTATTTAGTTTATTTAGTTTATTTAGTTTATTTAGTTTATTTAGTTTATTTAGTTTATTTAGTTTATTTAGTTTATTTAGTTTATTTAGTTTATTTAGTTTATTTAGTTTATTTAGTTTATTTAGTTTATTTAGTTTATTTAGTTTATTTAGTTTATTTAGTTTATTTAGTTTATTTAGTTTATTTAGTTTATTTAGTTTATTTAGTTTATTTAGTTTATTTAGTTTATTTAGTTTATTTAGTTTATTTAGTTTATTTAGTTTATTTAGTTTATTTAGTTTATTTAGTTTATTTAGTTTATTTAGTTTATTTAGTTTATTTAGTTTATTTAGTTTATTTAGTTTATTTAGTTTATTTAGTTTATTTAGTTTATTTAGTTTATTTAGTTTATTTAGTTTATTTAGTTTATTTAGTTTATTTAGTTTATTTAGTTTATTTAGTTTATTTAGTTTATTTAGTTTATTTAGTTTATTTAGTTTATTTAGTTTATTTAGTTTATTTAGTTTATTTAGTTTATTTAGTTTATTTAGTTTATTTAGTTTATTTAGTTTATTTAGTTTATTTAGTTTATTTAGTTTATTTAGTTTATTTAGTTTATTTAGTTTATTTAGTTTATTTAGTTTATTTAGTTTATTTAGTTTATTTAGTTTATTTAGTTTATTTAGTTTATTTAGTTTATTTAGTTTATTTAGTTTATTTAGTTTATTTAGTTTATTTAGTTTATTTAGTTTATTTAGTTTATTTAGTTTATTTAGTTTATTTAGTTTATTTAGTTTATTTAGTTTATTTAGTTTATTTAGTTTATTTAGTTTATTTAGTTTATTTAGTTTATTTAGTTTATTTAGTTTATTTAGTTTATTTAGTTTATTTAGTTTATTTAGTTTATTTAGTTTATTTAGTTTATTTAGTTTATTTAGTTTATTTAGTTTATTTAGTTTATTTAGTTTATTTAGTTTATTTAGTTTATTTAGTTTATTTAGTTTATTTAGTTTATTTAGTTTATTTAGTTTATTTAGTTTATTTAGTTTATTTAGTTTATTTAGTTTATTTAGTTTATTTAGATTATAGTAACAACAACAAAATCGACAATAAACTACCTAGACTATAATTTATATAAAAATTAGTTACTAATATTGTTTTAATATTTGTTAGTATTATTATTATTATTAGTTGTATCACCTTGTAAAATTTTTATTTTTTTGTAAAATAGACAAATTGTACATACAACAATTTCTAATTTATTATCAATAATAAATTCTAACAAAGTTTAACTTTTTGAACATCAAATAAATTTTCTATCTACTAACTTAATTCTATTAACCATTCATTCATCATCATACACACTTATTAATAACTACGATATATTTAACAGGCAATTAAATTAAAAACTTGGTATATATTTATTTATTATTTATACCTTTATTTAGAATTTCAAAATTTCTTTGACATATTTCAAACTAACATTTAGTCAAATTTTGACTTTTTAATTCTCAAAATGTACTAACTATAATTGTTTTGATAATTTCTACTATTATACTTTACATAAATATCAGTGAGAGACAGTCTTTGGTATGAATGCCAAAGCAGATAGCAATTTGTCCTTTACTTTCACATCAATAAAAAATGATCTACTCACAAGAGAAGTCTTTTGTAACTGGATCTAAATTTCTTATCCGTTGTAGATTCCCTTTCAGGCAATCCGGCTGCTCTTCCTTGCACCGTCTTCCGGTCACCATACAATTTGAACTGTTTACTATACCATACAACTCAGTGTTACAACTTGTCTATTTGACTTTTAAATTATTAAATATGTTATGACTCTATAAATCTTTATGAATTATCGCAACTTGTAAATTTAGATTACATGAAGCCTTCGAAAACAGAAAATTGGTTCTCCGTCAGAAATTTTTAAACCAATCTTCAAAAAAAAAAAATCTATCCATCCCGTTTCCCCGGATATTCTGACATCTGATTTGACAAATTTTTTTTATCCAAGAATTCGATGTACAGGGTGATATTTTTAAATATATTATTCATCAAGATATATTTTATATTGAGTAAAACTTTATTTTCTATTTTTTAATGATTCATTATAATCACAATATGTATCTAAAATATTGCTTATATCATTTATAAATATGTTAAATAACAAAGGACCTAAATTAGAACCTTGCGGAACACCGGAAGTTGCCAGCTATTGAGTCGTCTTGAAACCGTTAATTTGAACATATTGCTTTCTGTCGGAAAAGTAAGACTTAAATAAATTTAACAGTGATTGGGAAAAACCACAGCATGAAAGTTTATTTAACATGATACCATGACCAAGCCGATCGAACGATTTAGAAAAGTCGGTGTATATTACATCCGTCCGGATTCTCTTGTCGATATTTTCTGCAATGTACTGTGTTACAGCTATAAGATTGGTAACGGTGGAACGGCCTTTCATGAATCCATGTTGTTCTGTTGATATCATATTACTGACTTGATGATAAATCTTGTTTTGAAGTAACATCTCAAACACTTTACAGAAATTACTAATAATTGAAATTGGACGATATTGTGTAATGTCTGATTTATCACCCTTTTTAAATAACGGGCAGACCTTAGAGCATTTCCAGATAGATGGGATAGAACAAAATTTGAGATAAATATTTAAGAGAACTTTTAAGGGATAGGCGAAAATTGAAGCGCAGTCTTTCAAAACAAAGGATGGAATATTTTCTTATAAAATTTTAGCCATTCAAAATTCAAATAAATTGAAATCGGAGTAGAAGATTGTAAGCTGAAACGAGATCTCAATTCCAATAAGCTTGACAAAGATTACCAAGCAAAAATATCTCAAAATTCATATTCTCTGACGACCAACGTTAAAGGCACAATGTTCCATTAAAGTCAGATCAAAGCTATTATGCCACTAAATGAATCCTTTAAACAAGCACTCCTGCCAAACATGGGTCGACCACTGAGTTTCATAATAAAATTAATAAAAAAAACACATAAACAGAAACATGCCACATTGTGAGATAATTTTTGACACTGTGGAGCCTACATAGGCGTATACAAAGGACGTAGAATAAATTAAAATAGATTCGAAAACAATTGGACATAATTTGGTCTTTTTTATTAAACTTAGCAGCTTCGACAGTAGCTCTCGTATATACTTTATATAATTCTGGTTTTTCTTCACTTAGTGTTAGACACCTCAATCTAGCCAGGACAAGGGTTCAAGGCCTGTCAGGCAGCTATCAAAATTAGGTACTAATAGCAAATTTTTCAATAATCTCAAACGATAGCTACCTCGTATAACAAATTTTTATCCTTACAATACTGTAATGTGAGCCATTTCATTATTCAGTCATGCTCAAATCCTCTAAGTCCCTCTCTGTCTTATTTGGCCTTTGAGGCTCAACTTGTCCGATTATCATACATAATTAAACCCCTTAAGACCAAACATATGTGACGACTATGGCGGAGGAGCTTTCGATGACTATTCGAGAAAGAACGGGATAATGTTTCTAGTATATTGGTGAGAATAGGTGAACTTTCTAGCACATTCGCCAATTTTTTAAATTTGTATATAAATATTGGTGGAGGACCAAGGGAGAGTGAATTAGTATATAGACAGTGGTGAATATAAATAGTAAACGATTCAAAGACATTCGAAATATACATAAATTAGAATAGTAGTGTTATAAAGTAAATAAGTGTTTAAAAAAATTATTAATAAATAAACTGTTGTTTAAAATTAACAAACATCACAATACTCTTAATTTAAAAATTAATATTTTAGAGCTAAACGGTTATTTATCCTTAAAATTAAAAAACTGTGATTAATTCGCACGAAAAATGTATTTCAATAAGGTCGAGTTGTCTCCCAGGTAAATTATTTTAAATTTATTTATATAAAAAATTTAAATAATTTACCTAACCTGTGCGACCTGCAGCCATCGCGGTTTGCCTCGCAATAAAAATACAGAAAAATAAGAAAAATAAGGTAATTTTTGCAGCACATTTTCTTATTGGACGAAGACTTGTTTTTGTGGCAGACCCAAATGTGACTGATATCCCAGATAATCGCTTGTCAAAATATCAACACATAAATATATCATAAAATTACAAACAAGGACAAAGTGGATCAAGGAAGAGGCCAACCTAGAACTAAAATGGATATGCCTAGAGTTATATCTGACTATAAAATAAATTAAATGTTTTATAATTTTCAAAATAAATTATTATATACAATTTTTTTTCTCTTTAACAAGATGCACTACTACAGGGGCTAAATTGTGGATGTTAAGTCAGCAAGTCGCTTTAGCGCCGTTACCATTATGTGTCTCTCAATCTATGCATATCACTGGACTCGACAAGTCGATACTGCCTTTTATACACTAAAATAAAATAATAATGGAATAAATTGATATTTTTTAACTTACATTATTGTCGTATCTGAGTAAAGGCTGCACAGGCAAATTATTAGAATGTACAGGAAATGTTGGGGGTGTAGTTCCGACTAATTCAGGACATCCCAGTTCTGGACCTTCGTCGCTACCATCAGAACATTGTGGAATACCATCGCAAGCATTGTAAATGGCTATACATTCCCTGGAGGATCTACATTCGAACTGGAAACGAGTACATTTTGGATCTGAAACAAAAATTGGAACCATTTTATGTACTGATTTTAAGCTTTATATTGGATTGTTTGTAATGATACAATTTCTGTTTGAAACTATATTTTGCATGTTTATATATACAGTTGATCACAAAGCTTGAGAAAAACAAAGACATGAATAATATTAGGGAACATAACATTTAATTATGCATTACGAACAAAAGCGAAATCAATTTGTTCATAATAAGAAGTAATTGTGATTCAAAACATGTTTCTAAAGATGGTCGCCAACCTGTCGATCGCGAGCTACCGGTAGCTCGCGGAGGCAATTCTGGTAGCTCTCACAACGATTTTAATTTAAAAAATACAAACATCAGAGAAGCTTCCGAAAATTCCACAAAAAATCTAATTGTCATAATATTAAACATAAACAGCGGCAACGTTGCGGTGAGCGATCAGCCGCTGACGCCATCAAGCTAGAATCGGCTAGAACCGACCAGCCGGACCAGCGCGTTAGTGTTCGAGAACGATCAGGTTTGCTTTGAACGAGATAAATACGTACGGCGCGGCGACATTGCGCTTAGTTTAAAACTGAACGCGTAACCAACGTCCAGCGATTGGGTTAGTAAAGAACAACAAAAAATAATATTATGGCAAGCAGTTGTAAAAAGGTAAAGACATACCACTTTCATTCGGAATGGGAAGAACAATACTTTTTTACAGAAGTTAAAGATAAAAATGTGTGTTTGTTATGTAATACTTCGGTCTCCGTTGCTAAAAAATGAAATATTAAGAGACACCATGAAACTGTACATTCTAATTTTTAAAAATCATTCCCACTACATTCTGCCGCCAGAAAGGAGAAACTGAAACAGTTAAAAAAGCAGTTAATTGGACAACATCAATATTTTTAAGAACAGTCGACAAAAATAAGGCTGTAACTGAAGCATCGTACCGTGTGTCCCAGATAATTGCACAAAAAAGAAACCTTATGAAGACAGGGAAATGATAAAACAGGCGTTTTTAGAAGCTGCTGATTCGTTATTTGCCAACTTTAGAAATAAAGACGAGATATTTTCAGTTATAAAATCTATGCAACTTTCTGCTAATACACTGATGAGACGTGTAGGACTAATGAGCAATGATATTTTTTTACAGTTAAGAATTGGCTTAGATAACTGTGTTTATTTTTCAATTCAACTGGATGAATCAACAGATGTCGTTGACACTGTCCAGATGGCCGTGTTCGTCAGGATAGTTTTTAGTGATTTTACGATTAAAGAAGATCTTTTGAAGTTTGTTCCACTGAAAGGCCACACTACTGGACAGAAGTTGTTTTCTCATTTAAAAAATATTATTTCTTCCGAGAAAATTCCAATATCGAAAATGGTAGGCTCGACAACCGATGGCGCTCCAGCTATGGTGGGTTGTGATAAGGGTCTGGTGACGTTATGTCGTAAAGATGAAACTTTTCCGCAATTTCTCTGTTATCACTGCAATATCCATCAGCAAGCATTATGTGGAAATTTCCTGAAACTAAACAACGTTATGAAACTGGTGGTAAAAATTGTGAACAAGATTAGAGCTCAAGCGTTACAAAGAAGATTATTCAAAACCTTGGCCGATGAAGTTGACTGTCAATACGGGGACCTACTCCTTCACTCTGAAGTCCGATGGTTAAGTAGAGGACGGGTGCTGAAACGTTTTAATGATGTCCTATCTGGCATAGTTCAATTTTTCAAACAACGCGATGAACCGACTCCGGAACTAGAAAATTCAATCTGGCTTAGAGATTTTGGTTTTTTCGTGGACATTACAGATAAATTAAACGAACTTAATTTGCAGCTTCAGGGGCGAGACAAAGAACTAGCGGAAATGATTTCTGATATAAAAGCATTTATCAAAAAGCTGGAGTTTTGGGAAGAAAACCTAATTAACACCGATGCCAAGCATTTTCCTATTCTTTCAGAAAAAATATCTCAAAATTCATTAGAACCCTATGACAGCAAATATCATGTAGAGACATAGTTTCTACCCTGAAGAATAACTTCAAAAATCGTTTTAAGGATTTCAACGAAATGGCTTTAGTAGCGCAGTTTGTTGTTTCACCCTTATGGAAATTGATATCCAACAGTTTGCAACTTGTGTTATGCAGAACTTTGGCGAAGACATCGCTGCAACAGAAATGGAAGTAATTGAGTTTCAAAATGATTTAGCCTTAAAATCGTTAGTCTCAAGTACCAAATGTATCTGGCTTATTGTAAGTAAAGACAAATATTCAGTTCTATGCCGTGTTGCCTTGAAAGTGAAAGCATTATTCAGTTCAACCTATTTGTGTGAATCTTCTTTTTCCAATATGAAGTTTATTAAGAACAAATATTGCAATCGACTTACAGATGAACATTTGGATAATTGTATTCGAATGGCTATATCAAATTATACTGCAAACATTAAAAAAATTATGGATGAGTCTGAGTGTCAGCCTTCTCATTGAACGTGCTTTTTTATTTTTCAATGTTTATGTTCATGATAGTGCGTTACTTTTTTGTTGTTATTATTAACTATTTTTAAATCTTACGTGACATGCCGTTGTGGCTGGATAAAAGTTTGTGTTTATTTTTCAAACACCTTCGTTTGGTAGGTAGAAATGTAGCTATGAACAAGTACGTACTAGTAATATTAGTTATTTTGTTATTAGTACCTATATATTATGTATTACCAGTTAAATAGTAAAATAAATACGTATAATGATAAATTAACTGTGGATTATTTCAGTTACGTTGCGTTACGTGGCTTCCGTGTGGGTAGCTCGCTGTTTATTCCAAAATTAACAAAGTAGCTCAACACATTGAGAGGTTGGCGACCACTGATGTTTATCATATATAATAATTTAAGCGATGATATAGTATGTAGTTGTTTCGAGATGAAATTGTAAGTTGTTGTCAATAAATTATGAACTCTTAGTACAATAATTTTTATTAAATATACTATATTACAATACTTATTAATTTATAAGTGTGTCGTAACCAGTGGCGTAGCCAGTCATTTTTCATGGGAGAGATTTTTGATAACTATGGGAATTCCATCAAGAAAGTAAATAAAAACAGTCAATAGCGATCAGCGCCAATACTATAGCGGAAATGGTGACGCGAGGTCCCTCTATGGGGGGTTCTGACCTCAAACGCCCCACTCGTGGCTACGCCACTGGTCGTAACGTATTTCTGTAATCAAATAATTTTATTTTATTAATGTTAATTTTTGCAATAAATCGAAAAACATTTAATATTTCCGAAACAGATATAAAACATAGTACATAAAATATATCTAGAATTTTCTTAAGAATCCATAAATTGGAAAATATACAGAGTGTTGTATTTAAAATAAGAAAGTTGGTATTGTCCACTATTACATGACTCACCCTGTATAAAAAGTTTTGATTAAAAAAATTCGTAACTAAAGATACCAATTGACGTGTCCGAGCGTTTTTCCAAACACGCCCCCATTTATTTATTACCGAATTTATTCCATTTGGCTGTATCATACTGTATACTCATAATATTATTGTCTACCTCATTAATTTTTAAATGTCGCCGCCATTGGACGTACGTATTTTAATCATTGTCATACCAAAGTTTAATAACATCCAACAATAAGAAATTTTACTCTGGCAATTCTATTGTCTTTTCCTACCGAAAGAACAGTTTCTTGTCGCCACTTTACCCGCAATATCATCGCCAGAAACAACAACACTTCAATATCTGATTCTTTATTTTATCAGCTCATTTCCACGCGGTTCGTGTGGCGGTAAATGCACACCATATTATTGTGACCAGTTAAAAATTTCGCGAGTGATACAAGTTTTCTTTTCGATATAGGTATTAGCGTAGTTTTGGTTTGTGCGTAAAGGAAATTATTTTACCACTGAAATTAAAAAATGTCGAGAACGAGAAGGTCACCGCTTCTTTCTTACTTTGATAGTGACTTTTTTATCCATCCTGACAGTCAAGCGGTAAGTAATTTTTTTTTAATTCATTACTGTAAAATTGTAGAGACTAATTGGTCAGCTATAATTTCAATTCATATTTAACACCGAGGTGGCTCTGATTTTTTGTCTAATTTCAGCTTACACTACCTGGTTACCATTGATTGTATTTTTAAATCACTCGATATAATAATGAAAAGTTCATATTTATCATTTTACCAAACAAATATATTTAAATATTTTAGCCGTATTAATAAAATATATGTAACTGTTATAATTTGATAATTTTCATTATGGCGACATTATATTACAAAAAATGAAGAACATTATAATATACATAAGTGTTAAAAGAAAGAAAATAATTTTAATGCTCGAAAAAAAAAGACATTTTAAAATTATTACAAACAGTTTTAGAAGGTGAATTAATTATATTAAGCTATTTATTATTATAAAATTACATCGGGGACATCCGAAATAATAATAGCTTTTTTGTAACCAACATTTATACATATGTTTTTGTAATATTTAAATATAGAATATAGTCGAATTGTCTGAATTTTGTTATACATGACAATACCACGGTTCGTAGACAACACGGTGGCCTCCTCATCCGTTGCTAAGGAAGACTGTGACGTCACGGAATGCAAAATCGAGTTGACAGAAAATAATCTGCTACGATTCGCAGGTACATTAGTTTTTTAAAAATCTAATATTTTATTAATATTTAGTGGTATTTATATTTTTATTTCTGGACTATACACCTGCGTTGGAGTTTTTATAAAATCGGTAATTTGATTTTTTGAAAGAAAAGCCACAAAGCGGCATGGAAAAATCGTGTAATGATTTCCATCAAATTGGAAATGAAATACTTTTTATTTGAATTATTATTGTGTGATTGGTTTATTTTAAACTTTTTGGATTAGTGTACGGCATCCTTGCTAAATTCGGATCACACTTTGATTATATTCCGAAATATTTTAAAATTTTGGCAAGCCTGAAGCGACCCGTAGTTTTGGTTTTGGGTTGGCAAACAATGTTTAGTGTTTACATA